TTTTTTTTTTTTTTTTTTTTTTTTTTTTTAGCTCACTAGACAAAAGGAGCACCTAATCCTTGCAGTGTGGGGGTAGACCCCCAGAACTGGATATTCACGGCAGCACCATTTTCTGGCTTTGTCATACTGGAACCCAGATTTGGATATTGACTGCAGTAGCTTCTGTTATATGTAAATAGTCATATAACGAGCAGTGCATTTGTGTGTCATCCTGGACAGAAAACAGTCCCCTTCTAAACAAATATGGTGGTTCAGTCTGACTATATCATGTAGATCAGGGTGCCTACAATTTTTAATTAGGAGATCCACTTTTCAAATGACAAGCTCAATGAGATCTACCAATGAAAAAACACCTGCATTCAGGGTGGAGGGAGCATGGCGGTGCATTGCAATCAATGGCACCGCAGCCACGCCCCTCACTCGCACCCGGAACGCAGGCACACTAGTGCTGCAAGCACTATTTTTGCAGAATGCACTAGACCGGAATGCAGGCAAGCGATTGCACTGTGGGAGGGGGGGCATGGCTGCGGTCCTATTGACTTCAATACAACCCCACACCCCCTCCTGCCCCTGAACGCAGGAAGTCGGCTGGCTTGCATTCCAGTGCGTTCTAGAGGCGCCGGCGTCCTGTCATCCCGCTGTGCTCATGTGGCTGAATGTGACCGACGTTGCACAAGGGGAGAGGTATCCTGCCCCTTCAGTTTGCGGCGTCTTAACACCTTCAGCCGGCAGCCACGGGAGCATAGCCGTAGCCAGCTCCTTTTTGCGCCTGAGGCAAGAAAAAATATTAGGGGTCTAAACAGCCCCCTGATATTTCACTTTTAAAATAGAAAAAGAAATTGAGGACACCAAATCCTCAATCTCCTCCTTTTTTTTTTCTGCAGCCTCTGTTCTAAATGAATGGAAAGCACTCAGTACAGAGGCTTCCCATTCATTCAGAAACTATTTACTATCATCCAGTTTCTGAATGGGGAGGAGCCTCTGTACAGAGTGCTACTCCCCATTGAGAAACTCATGAATGAGCAGGAAGTGATGTAAAGCACTTCCTGTTCATTCATTACTGGGGACACATAGTACTATGTGTCCCCAGTTATTTACAAACACTGGAGTGATCAGCTGATTGCTCCAGTGTTTTGTCCTGCACAGAGGATTGGTACATATCACTAAAATGTACAGATCCTCTGCCGCTCAGCCACACACATAGGAGGGCTCAACTTCTCCTCTTGATCTCCGCTGCTCTCCCGGGCAGTGGCAGCGGGGGATCCAGCCGTGGGGGGGCGCTGTCACAGCAGCATGTGCTGTGATGAGAGAGAGAGAGAGAGCCGCCGGCTTCGTTCACTTCTCCTCGGATCCCCGCTGCATACAAATGGGGGAGAGCAGCGGGGATCCAGAGAAGCCCCACGGAAGGAGGACAGGACATCGCAATGTACCAGGGATCGCTTTGCGATCGACTGATAGATCGCGATCGACATAATGGGCTCCCCTGATGTAGATGTTTGCACTGGTAGTGTATAAAGTATTATCCCCTTACATTCCCCTTTTTATTACAATAAATCTTACAATGTTATTTAAGTTGGTTGTTAGCTATTGTCTCTCTCAATGTTTGCAGTGTACTGTTTATTATCTTTGTCACCATCATAGTTGTCCCTGGTGTACAGAGTCAACAGGAAAAATCAGAGATAATTTTACAAAGAACTCAAAGCAAGGGCAGCCTACATATTTTTCTTACAAATGTCCTATTATCCCCTTACCTTCTGTGTGAATTTATAAAATGTATTGGATTATGTAGGGTCTGTGCATCAATTGTTATGGACGGGTAAGTGACCATTTCTTGAAATCATAGTCATTCTAAATGTTCTTTGCAGGGAAATGTCTGTTTCTGTCAGGGCTCAGTGACAAGCTGCTGAACCACCTTGATGACCTTGCACTTCCCGAGGAATATGGCATTGGCTTCACTAACATGGTGGAGAGAACCACTCCAGGGAGCAAGGACCTCTCTAGGTGAGAAAAGTCACAACATGGATGGTTAAGCGAACCTTCTGTCTAACAATACCCATATGCAGAGCCTGGTAAACTGAAAGGTTTGTGTAGGAATTCCTCCTAGTACTGTATTGTACTCTAACACTACTGTGCTGTATAACTGCTTAGGCGGGTAAAGATGCCGAAAACACTTTTCAGAGTGCCTTTTTTGCCAGTGGTCACACCCACCCTGAGCTTTCACTCTCTATATGTTTGTGTCACTCCACCTCCCATTATCAACTTAGAGTAGGGACGTCCGCTCCAATCCTGATCTTTTTGCTGGGGTGTTACTGCCCAATATAAAGACATATTTGTCAGAGCAGTTTCTTCTGGTGTCTAGCTTTTGGGTGCTGTATGAAACCATACAGCACCCAAAGGCTAGACACCAGAAGGTTTCAGCATGAGTTGGCTTGCTAATGGGGCAGAGGCTCCTATTGCTGGATGGCCATGAGTGACCATGCAACAGAATAGGGGTTAGGCTAATGCTAGCTTTACTTTATTTATTTAGGTATTAAGGGCATGCTTTAGTTTTACTTTAATGCCTCCCTCCCCAGCAGCTTACTTCCCCTTTTACTGCCCTGCAGCTCTATTCAGCCCCTAGGAGTGAGTAAAATGTGCCATGTGTATAGAATCTAGTCAGACATTAGATAGCCATACACTTGGCTGAAATTCGGTGTGTGGCCCCATTGGCACCCCGCCATTCGACAAAATTCAATTTTTCAATTAACTTTGTCAAAGTTGTTTTGGAAAATTTTCAGCCAGACAGTCAACTGCAGTCAGTGTTAAGGCTGTGACACACTTCACGCGAAGCGCTGGTGCCTGGACCTTCGCGTGCAGTGTCGTGTCATTTTCACTCTGGCACGTCAGCTTGCATAGCTGAGCATGCAGAGAAAACAAATTTCACCTTCAGTCAATCGGATCGCGTGTATAAACCTGCATGTCATGATGCGAAGTCCATTCGGTTGTTATGCGCAAGCTGATTGGCTGAAGATGCAGTCTTTCATCTGGCTGCATTCAGCTCACACACTGCATGCAAACCTCTGCCTCACAGCTTTGCATGGCTTCGCATACAGTGTGTCATGAGCTTTAGGCTATTCTGGCAGTGGTGCACCTTCAGCTAACAGAATACAATGGGCTGGAAGGGTGCGTGGGGGCTGAACGAGCTTTAGTCTATTGACGCACATTACAGTCTGTACAATTTTGTGCTCGATCTCCTTTTGGAATTGCAAAACAACTATATGGTATGAGGGACTAAATGACCAATCCTATTGAATTGATATCCATTTAGTTACACTCCATAGCTGCTAGTAGATCTAAAGGATTTCATTAGATTTTAACACATGTAGAACAGAAATGTATCACATTACTAACTGTATCTGAACATTACTTCTCTCTCCTTTCCAGCAAAGAATTTCGGGAAGGTGGAAGAATACTTCTCCAGAAGCTTCAGAAGTATAAACCACGTATAGCTGCCTTCAATGGAAAATGTGAGATGGGACTTTTTTGCTTTACTATATGACGTCCTATTGAAATTATAGCACCCCTGAAGCTTTGTTCTTTTTCTCGCAGGTATATATGAAATTTTTAGTAAAGAAATATTTGGAGTCAAGATTAAAAAATTTGAATTTGGAATCCAGCCACACAGAGTTCCTGATACAGACACAGTCAGTATTTTGCCTTGAAAATCCAGTTACATGTATAACCAGCAAAATGTTCTTGATGCTCCAATGAATATTTTCTAGTTTTCAATTAACAAGCAGCAAAGTGTATAAACCAAAATTGAATCAATATTTTCAGTGTTAACCCTTTTACCTTTTTAAAACCGTATCAATTCTCTCAGGTACACAAGCATACAGTTAAAGGGTTAGTTAACTTTAAATTATGGTGGAAAAACTTTTATGCACAGCACCACAACTCTTAATGTTGTTGCTGTGCACGCGCTTTGCCAACTACTGTAAAAGTGTGTTGGTTGCCATTCAAAATGAATGGTGCTGCAGTTCACACATTATTGCATCGCTTCAATTAGCCCTTAAAGTGATCATGTACAGTTTGACCATCAATATCCACAGCTACATTTTCACCTTCAGTTCATTGACTGCTCTGCCCTTCAGCTCATTGACTTGCTCTGCCAATGTAACTTCAGTTCTACATGTACTGTGGCCATTCATTATAGCACCCTAAGGGGATTGTTTTTCTGCATTTGGAATGCACATCAAACACAAGTTGGCAAAATCCCTTTGACTTTAAATGAACGATACCCATGGCAGTTCACAGGCTGCGTTGGACCTGCTTTGCTTTTCTTTGGATGCAGAAGGTGCTATTGATGTGCATTTAAACTGCAGGTAAAACAAGTCTTTTCGTGTCAAACACTGCATTTGAATAAGACACCCATCAACATGAGTCCTAAGGATCTTGTTTCAAGATGGCTTTAGCTTGAACAAAATGAGCATCTTTGCATCTGATTTGCTCTGTATTGTCATGCAGTCATATGGTTTTTATTACTTGGTTGACCTTAACTAAGAAGTGTTCACTCCTGGACAAGAACTGCTTTTGACTGCCATGCTTAAGTGACCATTGTTATCTTTGCAAATTAAGAATGCATTTGTAGGACTGTCCTTAGGAGGAGGATCTTACAAAAAAGTTGTTTCTTTTTGACAGATTTGCTATGTCATGCCTTCTTCAAGTGCCAGGTGTGCACAGTTTCCCCGTGCTCAGGACAAGGTACATCACTACATCAAGTTAAAGGAGTTGAGAAACCATCTAAAGGGCGTAGAAGTGACCAGAGAAGTTCAAGAAGTGCAGTACACATTTGACTTGCAGTTGGCTCAGCGTAGGTTGCTTTTGCTGTTTTAATTTTTTTAACTTTTATCTTCTCCTTCAGAAGACACTTGGAAATGTGGAAGTTACCTACTCTTTCTACTCAGATTGCTCAGCATAATCCTTTATATGCATTGGTGTAAATTTGTTGGAGGCTGCAGTTTTGTTTTTTATTAGTAATCTCTGCTCATTAGTACTGAATAGTGCATGTAGGACATCAGTTCTGTTCAATCAGACTGGATGGAGAAGTATCAACAGACTATTGTTTTCTGAACATTTCCGTCCATTGACCTGTAGACTTAATGACTTGCCTGAGTTATATTATATGTTGGTTACTTGGTTCTTGTTGATTTATGTTAAATATATCTTGTTGTTCTGATTCGTATGTACATGTTGTCTCCTGTACAGAGGATGCAAAGAAGCAGGCTGTAAAGGAAGAGAAGTATGATCCTGGCTATGATGCCGCTTCCGGTGGGAATTTAAATGAGCAGATGCCTAATGGAGATAGTGGATCATGCAACTTGCCTAACCCGGAAGGTACGTGCTCTGATGTTTTGTTTTCTTTCAGGGCTAGTGGACCTGTGCTTTTGAGATGCTTTTTCATGTGTTTTCTGTGCATTTACATTGTCTTGTATGGAAGATAAAAGCAAAGCAGAGACTAATCTGTAATTGAGCTTAAAGGAGAACTATGAGGTGAGTGAAAAGCACTCAGCTTCATAGTTCGAGCCGTTCGTTGGCTCAATAGATCGGGAAGTGAGTGAACACATACAGTCGATCGCTCACTCACTTCTCCATCCTGTCCCTGCAGAGAGCTGTGACTGTCACTCACGGCTCCCTGCGGGGATTCCCCCCTCCCCTGTCCGATCCTCCAGCGCTGACTGGCAGAAGGGGCGGGGACAGCTGGCTCTGCCTCTAGATAGGCAGAGCCAGCTGTCACTCACGCACCTGGGTGGATCCAGACAGTATTGTCTGGATCCGTCTCGGTATACTGAGCTTTGGGTGACGGGAGGACGCTAGTTTGTGTCCCCCAGTTACCCTTAGAAGAACTATGGGGAAAAGCACTGACCCTGTAGTTCTCCTTTTTTAAAGTGTATTTCCACTTTTGCAGCCAAATTGGGATAACGCCTATTTTTTTTTTTTTTTACCATTTACATAGCATAAGCTAATTTTAGAAAAAAAACATGCTTCTTGGAGTTTAAATTACTTTTACATGTGTTAGGGTTTTAAGGGTTAAAAGTTCTTCTTGCTTCTATTTCTTTAAAATGTTAGGAGGGACTGTGAGGGGTCTAAGGTGGCTAGCCCATTGTATGTTAATGAAGCTCCCCCGCGGCTGCCGGTGTCTTCCCCGGCAC